CATAATACCTTCTTTTATTTACTTACCTTTTAACTTGTGAAGTCTTCCTTTCCTTTTCACTGTTTTTTTTTTTTTAAGTCAAGAATTAGATGCTTTACACTACGTTTCTTACACCCACATTTATCCTTTTAAAGTTTTTCCTAAAAATGTTTCCTTTTTTTAAAAAAAAAATAGCACAACTAAACCACAACCATATTCCTTAAACCACAAAACAATAACCAGAAAGTTACCTAGCTTTTCTTTGCTATCCTGTTGTTCTGTAAGTAAGTTCTAACAAGACTGTAACCTCAGAAGAAATGCAGCACGTGATAAAAACAAAGCCTTCCCCAGCCTTCTTTTAAGCAGATCTCACCCAGCACTGAGGCTATATGAGGGGATAGGTACTATTAGTTTCTTCAGGTGTGGGGGTTATTCCTGTGGTTGGGGATGCGTAGGCTAGGGAAAAAGCCAGAGAAAAAAAACATTCTTAGGTAACCTTAGATGTTTTTGAGGTGTGACTATTATTGTTTGTTTTAATGGTTTTTATTTTTGAAGACATATAGTTTAATTTAATAAGTGTTTTTTCATGTATGACTAAAATAAAAATGTTTTGATAGGTTATTTTGTTATAATTAAATAGATTGCTGAAATATTATTTTTTTTTGCTAATGGTAAAACAATTTTTGTTTGCTTATATAGCCTCACATTGGGTATGATGAATATTAATTTAGCTAAACGGAGAGTTCGACTTTTAGTGTCTTCTATCCAGTGTATCTCACTTTTCAAAGCTAATATTTTTTTTTTTCCGCTGAAGAGCTAACAATTCTTATTTTATTGGGGAAACTTAGGCTGTAGAAAACTGTATAGTTAATTGGGGCTTTTTACTTTTTGTAAAACCCACCCTGCTAACCTGCCATCTGATACTTTTGCAGTAAATGTAGTCATGAGAAATTCTAGATTTAACAAGGTTTTGTAGCGGTTGGGGTTGTCTCATTACTTATTAAAAGTGTGCAAGACATTCTTCTCACTGTGGAGTTGTATATAAACTACGTAAGTCAAATGGCATTTGTCAAGTAAAAAAAAAGTGCATTTTGTCTGATGGACTCTTGGATGTGTTGTTTTTTTAATTCTAAAAGTTCTCTTTGTCACTGTTTCGGAAAGTTTTGTGATACAAAGGATGTCCTGGCCGTTAGCTTCAGTTAACAATGTTCTGCTGTACTGCTCATCTGCTTTGCCCAAGAACGCTTTTTTCAATTGCATGAAGGCCTCTCGGGTTGTTTGAGCTGGAGTCCCACTGTTGCTCTAGCTCCTTGTACAGAGACTTGTAAAAACCCAAAACTGAAGCATGGCAGTCTGTTGGCAGCTTGCTGCTCTCTGATTGGGAAGCTCGGGGTACATTAGGTGGGGTTGTAGATGGGAAGCTCCTCTCGGATGGAGGGCTTGGATTTGCTGACCGGGAGGAGCTTCCTATCTTCCAAGAGTAGCTCTTCTACAAAATGGGACTCCAGTTGACACACTCCCCCTTCTGTGCTGGGTTCACCCCATTCAGCGTAAATGATTGCGAGTTTAAGCATGAGTCTTGCAGACTCTATTGGGCTTAAGTGACGAAGACCCTATAGGCAAAGGACAGCTGGTGACTAACAAAGAGACTGCAAGCTCCCCTGTGTAACTTCCATTAGTAAAGGCTGCAGCATGAGTCACCTCAGAGCCACTAGTTGGAAATATAATCGAGACCTTAACCAGAACCGCACGAATCAAGATCAACATCCAGCCCTGATGTGCTGTCTGCTTTTAGCAGTCTCATGAGTGGGTGCAAAAGCACATGCCCCAGGAACAGGGAGGGGGTTAGAAGGGGGGGTACTGTGCTTTCAGGGTTAGCTTTACCATAACTTGGTAAGGCTCAGAGATCATAGGCTTGACAGTATGTGATGGGCAAAGGCCACTGCAGGAAAAATCACCCCCACCCCTCCTCCTTTGAAGGACTTGGCTTTGGGAGTACAAAGCAGCTGGTTAGAGATAAGCATAAGCATTGGAGAGCAGAAGGGTGGACTTTATCATCAGCAACCCTCAAGTGGGAGGTGTGTTTTCAAAAGCAATGAGAGGAGAGGGCAGAGTCTTTCTGTGCACTAATCCATGACATGTCCTGTGCTTCAGGGTGGTGCAAAATCAGATGCCTGGATTGGGTGTGAGACAAGGAGCCACGTTCACGAGTAAACAGCGGTGGGCATGGGTGTGGAAGGGGCCAGGCAGGCTGATGAGTAAATAGTAAGGAAGTCGGGAGCGCTGTGAAACGGAAGTGCTCAGCCTGCATGTGTGTGTATCCAGGGGTGGATCATTCCTGGGGGACTGGACCTATGGTGCCTGCAACCCTCTGCCGACCTAATGCTCCGGGGCAGCAGTGTGATTCCTCCAGGCACAGCTGAGGAAAGATCTGGCCCTGCCCTCCACGGTGGGCTGGAGATGGGTTTCACCCTCCCTGTTGTTTATTTCACCAGCAGAAAAATTGGAGGATGAGGCTTTCTGTGAGTTAAAAGAGCAGTTTTTCCCATAAGCAGCAACTGCCTGCTTTTTAAAAGTGTGATGTAGGAGCTGTGCAGTATTACCAATATTAGCAGTCCAAGAGCTCCTAAGTAATCCCAGAATGATAAACTGGGGTGAATGCACACTGGATCCAGCAGGAAAAAGGTTTTTTGCAGTTTCAAACTTCCTCAGAATTGCTTTATAATTTAAAAATTGGAGCAAGCAGCTTGTCTGTGTCATCTGAACAGGCGAGAAAACAGCGGTCACAAAATTATCTCACGACTGCTGAACTAAATACTGCTAGGGAGAGAAAACTGGTCTGAAAAGGATGACAGACAAGGTCTGGAACAGCATGCAGGGGAAAAAAAAAGTGCTACTTAGATTTGCGTCACGGAGAAAGGTCATGGAAAGGCTGTAAAATGAGAATCCCAAGGTAGCACTGTCCTTCTGTCTTTGTCTTAGCAACACTGGAAATTGTAAGGGGAAAGCCTTATTCTTTGGAAGCTGTAGATGCCTGTGGAGCAAAAGTACGCTCGCTCCCCACCAGACAGCTTGAGTCAGTTCACAAACTTCTTTCATTTGGGGTTTCTTCCCTGAAGCTCACTGTACATGAAGGCTCTGGTGGCATCCCTGATACCCCCTATCAACAGGCTGATCTTCAGAGCTTGTAGCCAAAGCTCAGGGAAGGCTTTAGTGAGACCTTTCCCGAGGGAGCCTGGTGCATGATGTGAACTGTGGCAGTGGCTCTGAATGTGGTGGAAGATAATTCAGAGTTTTACCAGGCAACATCCACTTCATGTGTTGGTGCTGATCTAGGCTATATAACCCCTAGGTGGATGTAAGAGGAAGGGACATACATAGGATTCCGCCTGCTGCGGGGGAGTCCTGGAGGGCCTTCCAGGTGTCCATGCCAATGGCTCAGAGGCCACATCAGAGTTGAATTTCTTATGTATTCTAGGTTGTGTTGTCCTCTCAGAGAGGAATGATCATTCACGGGACAGTGCCTTGGTTTACTGAGCTCTTTCCCCTATAAAAGGAGAAAACCAGGCTGGGAAAAGGCCACAACCTTTTGTGGCCACGGAGTCAGGCAGAGTAGCTTCCCTTCTTCAGGAAAGAGTTCCTCCCTCAAATAAACCCCAAACAAAGCGGAGACCTCAATTAGTGCTTGAGCAAGGGCTCGAGGCATTCCCCAGCATGTGTTATGCAAGGGTCAGGTTCTGCTGCCCTGATTCCCGTACCTCCCCGAAACTGCAGGCATTTAGGCACATGCTTCAAATACAGGAGCAGTCCCACCTACTTCACCGGTCTGCCCCAAAGCGTCCCGCTGAAGTAGAGCCAGCAGCTCTGGTTTCACAAACACTGACACCCACTGGTCCTATCTCTGGGGTCACCCAGCAACCAGAGCATCAACCAGGCAGTGATGTACCCCTGTCTCTTGTACCTTAGCTCTCTTTCTGCCTTCATAAAGGATCTATAGGAGACTCAGATTAGGTGCAAGATGAACCTATTGCATTTTTTGACCGTTTAAAAGCTTCTTTATGCTCAATCAGAGAGCAGTGCATAATCCAGTGAGATTCCTAAAACCAGCTTGTTATTTGTAAACTCTCAGGAATGACTGCACTGGACATCTCTTCCTTGTGCCTGGACCCCCAATCCCACCCACTCGCATCACATAAACAGCTATGAGGCAATTCAGGGCGGGGGGCTCGGGTTACAAAACTGCCTTCCCCCTAAAAGCTTGGAACCCATCCCGCAGTACAGCTCCTTTTCTGCCCAACACCGATTCCTCCAGGCACGCTTTTTATCCCCAGGTGTGGGAACAGGGTTCCAGCCACAACGCGGGTACCACTTCCTAGTCCTGCGGTGTGAGGAAAGGGACTGGAGGTGGGGAAGGAGGGGACAGTATCGGTGCTGCTGGGCAGGCTGGAGCAGTCCTGGGGAGGAACAGGGCTGCGGAGCTGCCCTGCATTCCTGTCTGCTTGGGCTGGTGGGCAAGGAGGGCTGAGAAACTGGGTGGGTGTGTTACACCCTCCTCTACTCACAGCTTTCCAGCTGCCGCCCTCTGCCACAGCCAGGCCCTCTCCGAGGACTCTTGCTGGCAGGCTGGACCTTGATCAACTGCATTTTTACAAGCAGGACTCGTCCTTAATCTGCTGGGATTAAAAAGGGACGCACTCCTAGCTACTCCCCAGAATTTAGGTGGTGTAAACAAGCATTTTGCAAACCCCAGGACCAACAACAATCTGTCGCTGTAAGCAAAAGCAAGCACTCTGCCCTGGCTGGGGCCAGGCTGTGAGCTTCACACCAGTGCCTGAGACCCCAAACCCATGGTCCCACCAGTGCTGGTGATTGTGGCTGCCCTCAGCAGCTGGTTCCTGCCCTGTGGGGTGCATAGGGCTTGTTTACCAAGGGTTCAGGTGTGCATCCAGCAGAGTCGTCGCGTGCTCTCACTGGTAGAAAAGCGAGAAATGGGAGAAAGTGCAGAGAGGCTCAGACAACGGTTCATTGGATTAATTTAAAAGTACATTCTTCAATAGGTTCAATCTGTTTCACAGCTTTTTTTCTGCCTGCCTGGCTTTCTCCTGCAGGATGGCCACCAAGGTCCCAGCTCCACTGGCAGGAGATGCCAGGGACCCGTCTCTCAGTCACTCTCGCTGCCGGTTCGGTGGGACGCTGCCCCACGGCCATGCCACGGCCTGAGGCAGGCAGGCAGCGCTGCCCTGCCAGCGGACAGCGAGACCTTGCTGACAGAGGACATGCTGCGAGCCAGGGGCTGCGTGGGGAACATAATTGTGCCGCGGGGTGCCTCCAGGAGCTGCCAGATCTCCCCCGAGGTGGAGCTGCCCAGGTACTCCCAGGGCCGGCGCCCACTGCTGTCCCGCACCTGCACTTGGCACCCCAGCTGCAGCACCAGCACCTTAATGACGAGCTGGTGGCCGTGTATGGCAGCCAGGTGCAGCGGCGTGTATCCGCAGCCCGAGCGGGCGTCCACGTCCAGGGCCAGCCCAGCCTGCCGCGCCGCTGCCGCCAGCTCCTGCAGGCCCGGCCCATCGCCGTGCTTGGCCAGCCAGTGAAGCACCGTGAACCCCGACATGAAGTCCCGCTGCAGGGCCAGCTCTGGCTCTTCCAGAAAGAGCCCCCGCACCCGCGCCCAGCGCCCCGCTGACACCGCCACCAGCCAGGAGTGCTCCCGCTGCCCCAGCGGCACCACCAGCCCCCGGCTCGGGGCGTTCCTAGGGGAGCTCTTGCAGGACAGGGTGCGGGGCTGCCGCCCACCGTCGTCTGGCAGTGATGGGGGGATGCCCTGTGCCTCCAGCAGAGCCAGCTGGCACCTGATGCTCCTGAAGACGGGCAGCGGCGCTGGAGGGCTGCTCTCTGGGGCTGGGGCCTTTGTGGGGCCCCGTGCTGGCAGCAAGGACTGGGATGGGGCTGGCCTGGCAGGGGGGGACTGTGGTGGGGATTGGGATGGGGGTGGCCTGGTGGGGGGCAGCACTCCAGGACCTGACGGCAGCAGCAGAGTTTGGTTTCGGCACGGCAGCAGGGCTTGAGGTTGGGTTGGTCCGTTGGGAGCCAGCACCCGGTATTCCCTCGGCGGGGAGGGAGATGGCCTGGTGGGGAGTTGCTGCAGGGACCTGGACTGCGCTGGGGACAGCCTGGTGAAGGGTAGCACACCTGGGCCCGATAAAAGTGGTGGGGATGCGGAGGGACCCGCGGGGAGCGTCTGCAGGGACCGGGACAACGGCAGCCCCCCGGGGGTGGAGAGCAACAGCAGGGAGCGGGATGGGGGTGGCTCAGAGCGGGGCGGCTGGGTGGGGGACAGCCCCTTGGTGCCTGACGACAGCAGCGGGGGGTGGGTTGGCCTGGTGCAGGGCTGCCCCCCGGGGCTGGCTGAGGGTGGTCGGGGCATCCCGCGGCGGGGATGTGGCGGAGAGCAGGGCGGGGGCAGCACCCCGGGGCCCGGTGGCAGCGGCCGGGATTGGGTCAGGGGTGGCCCTCGAGGGCGTTGTGGCGGCAGGGACCCCAACGGGGCCGCCCCGGTGGGAGGCAGCGGGGGGGACCGGGGCTGGGACGGGCTGGCGGAGAGCGGCGGAGGGCTCTGGTAGGGGGGCGGCTCGGCGGGGGTCAGCGCCGTACGACCCGACGGTAACACCGGGAGCCGGGAGCGCGGTTGACCGGCGGGGTGAAGCGCCCAGGGACCCGAGGAGAGCGGCCGGGTCCGGTACGGCGGCGGCTGCGCGGCGGGCGGCGGCGGGGAACGGGAACCCGGCGGCCCGGCGGGGGGGGGGGGGCGGCAGCGCCCCGGGGCCCGGCGGGGGGGCGGCGGCGGCGCGGCGTGCCCGGCGACACTCGCAGCAGGGCCCGCCGCGGCCCCGGGCAGCGCAGCCCCCCGCAACGGCGGCTCTCGGGGGCTGCCCCCCGCCGGGCCGCCCCTTCTCCGCCGCCTCCCCCCGGGGGCCGCGCCGCCAGTCGGGGTCGCGTCGGGGCGGCGGCAGCGGCGGGTCGTTCTTTTCTTCCTCCTGCTCCTGCTGGTCCTCCGGCGGCGGCAGCTCCTCATCGAGGAGGTCGCGGTACCTGCGGCGGAGGACGATGTCCTTGGAGGCGCCGGGGGAAGCGGCGGGGTGGACGGTGGCCAGGGCATTGACGAGGCTCTTGAAGTATTCGCGGCGCTCCCGCCGCTGCTGCTCCGTCAGCGCCGGGTCGCGGAGGAAGCGCTGGAAGTGGCGGAGCAGCGCCGTGTTGGGGGCTCGGCCCCCGGCCCCCCAGAGAAAGTCCAGCACGGCCTCCTGGCTCAGCTCCCGCGCCATGCTCCGGGCCAGCCGGCTCGCCGGGCTCCGTGCTGCACGGCGGTGCTCGGCGCTGCACCCCGGGGAAACCCGCCTCCTGCCGCGCCGGGCCTCCGCGCCTCCTCCTCCTCCTCCTCCTCCTCCTCCTCCTCCTCCTCCTCCTTCGCAGCCGGGCCGCCACCCCCCCGGTTGCTTTTGCCCGGGGTGCCAGCGAAGGAGGGAAGCGGGGCTGAGGGGCCGGAGGAGCCTCGCGAGCGCTCTGAGAAGTGAGAGGCGAGTTTGCTGGCATGCCGTGAGGAGGGAGAGTGTTTTATGGGTCGTTTTGTCGGCAAGCAGACGGGAGGCGATGTGCACAAATTGAAACGCACGAAATTCCCATCACCGCAACACGTGAGGGTGGCGAAACACTAGAGCAGGTTGCCTGGAGAGGTCGTGGTTTCCATCCTCAGGGGTATTCAAAGCTCCACTGGACCCTGTCCTGCCCTGTGGGACCTTGCCTGGATCAGACCATCTCCAGAGGTGCCTTCCAACCTGAACCACCTCCTGATTCTATGACTTAGGGAAACTGGCAATAAAGATACAGTAACGTGATGTGGTTCAGAGTCGCTGATATTACAAGTGTGTGGGATTGTACCCGGGCACAACAACCGCACACAAATAGCAGGAGTGCCTGAAGTGAAATTATATCTCCTATCATCTCTGTATGAACCGTGTGGCCGAAGTGGGTTGGGCAGACGTTGTGCTAGAGTGGGGATTTAATGTTGCTCTGTGTTGCTAATGCTGTTATCACAAGTGTGTGCATTACAGCTGAGCAGGATGGATAAGATCAGTGCCCCAGTGGGCAACGTGCCCTGTATACACCGAACAAATGCCAGTGCCTGCCCCAAGGAGTTTGGAGAGTGAATAGTGGGTGGAAAATGTGAGAGAGAAAGTGTGCTGCTTCTTCTGTCTTAAGGTCAGGGAACAGAGGCATGTTCAGAAGACTGAGCTTGATATAGGCTCAGTGGTTTTAAAGGCCCTAAGTCATGCTTCAGAAACCACCTCTACTGCAGGCTCCTGGGTACCCATAGATATTTTTAGGTGCCTGTCATCTAGGCAGCTGGAATACCCTCCAGCCTGCTGCAAACCCACAAGTGTACACAACCTTCACAAACCCCAAGCAGAGATTGCAGTAGATGGTGTGTCCAAGCTTGTGATTTCTGTTTGGGTACCACAAAGCCTTAGGATAACTTCTAAGGTTCAGACCCTGCAAACAGACGCAGGAGTGGCTGTGTGCAGCAGTGCGGCCCCCGAGTAAGCAAATGACACAGGTCTGTGCTCTTGGATTGCTGGCTCTGACCCGTTAGTTTCTTCCGCAGTGCGTTATCATCCCGGTTTGCAGGACAAATTGCCCTGTGTTGCTGCAGGACTGCTAAACTGTAACCTCTGGGATGGTGGGAGCAGCCCTAAAAGAAACTATAAAGTTGCTAGGTTAGAAGTTACAGTTTAGGCAATGTATCAGAGAAGCCTTCCAGTGTGCCAAGATTTGGGTTGCTTGGGTGGCACTGCAAGAGAAACTGCACGACGTGCTCTGCCACCTCTTGCTTTTGGTTTTCCCTGTGGTGTGTGTTGTAGCAGTGTGGCTACACCCCATCAGTGGTGTTCATTTGGGTAGGGTGCAGGCGCTGGGAAGAGGGTAAGGCTCACGTTAATATTTTACCATTTTGCACATGCTTTCGGTACAGTTCTTCAAGGCATAAATACCTTTCTCCCTCTTCTTCTGACGAGCCCTGAATTGCAGGGACAACTCTGTGTTTGACAGCAGCACAATCTTGGGAGAAGTAGTTGAGATTAAATTAATGGAGCATAATGATATAATTGTGATCACAAATAAGAGAGGAGGGTAGATTGTGAAGATAAAAAATCCAAGTAAATAACAGTGGTAAATGACAACACTACTACACAACTGTTGGTTTGGTTTAATGGACTAAGGTGTAAGCAGGAGGCTTTCCATTATATAATTTTTTTCATTTGAACACCTTTGGAGGCATGACCTTGCTTACTGTAAGTTTAGCTTTGACTGAAAAAAAAAAAAAAAAAAAAAAAAGAGGTTTTTCTGCTGAGAAATGTAAACGTTTTTCTTGAAGTTAGTGGAACACACACAGGTAACGTTAAGTGACTGCTGAAGTAAAGGGAGGGCTGAGACGGGCACTGAATGCTGATGGGTTTGCATTGCTGAGGTTGGAAAAGCCTCGCAGCTTGTTTGAGTGAAATGGGTTAAGCTAACGCGTCTCGCTTGACAATACCGGCTTACAGGATACCTCAGATGCCAGACAATAAAACGGCACTTGGTTGTAACCCATTGGGTTATGACTGTCGATGCCCTCTGTAGGCACATGCAGAAGTCTGCTGCAAGAGTAGCTCGTGTTGATTCAGAGGCAGACCAAGCGGTGGCACGCATCTCTCCCCTTACGGCCTGAACTGCAAAGCACATTTGGGGATTAAGGGGGTGTAATGCTGCATGCCGGCAGGGAGAAGAGCAGCCCTGCTACCTGGAGTTGCTTCATTGCCTGCTTCATCCTAAGAGGTTTAAAGAGACTCATTTCCCCTTATGCTCTAATGATTTACCCTGTCTGCAAGTCAGCCACTTTTGGTTGTGTGTAGGAGTCTTTGGAACGGCTGAATTTACCCTGGTCTTTCCCTCTTTGGGAGTTCTGGACACAGCAGGTCTCTTGATTCTTTGGGTGGAATTCGAGTAAGTTGTGAGCAGTGCTAGTTACAAAATGGAGGCAGGATCAAGCATTACTTCAACATTAAAACAAAAAAAAAAAAAGCGAATAAGCCCACCACTTAGTCCTGTAGCTTCCTATTGTTGTGCGAGAAGATGTTGCCCTTAGGGAGCTATATACCTGTGTTTGTTTTTAAACAAGAGGTAAGTTAACCCAAGTTCTGCATCTACTTGTGTATTTTCTCATCGCTTATAATCTGACAAATTGCCCCGCAGCTGACACAAAAGGTTACTAAAGCATTGACGTGCTGTATCTGCAGAATGATGCAAAACAGCTTTGGAAAAACGGAGGTGGTTCCCGCAGGGTCTCTGGAATGAGGGACAGGCAATTCCCTTCCCACGGGTACTGATTTGTTAGCAGCACTTATGAAACTTTCAGGAGTGAGGGGTCTGCTTCTTCCTGTTGAACACCAGGAATGCAAGGAGCTGTGCTAGCTGAGATCTAGAAAGATTGCAGAACATGTCTTTGTCTTGATGCTTTGTTTGTTTTGTTTTCCCCCTACTCTTTCCACATGAACAGCCATGCCCAGAAAGGTCCGTATGCATGAGTATCCCAGAGAAAACTCGGCCACAGCTCTCCCAGCTTCGGGCCGAGGAAGGACATGGTGAATCACATTCGGGTTTTGCAAAGGCAGAAGATCTTTGCATTAGTTAAGTTATGCTGATGCAGGGGTATCACGCATGTCTCTAATTCAGACAAGGAGAAGCTGCTTCTGCCTAACCCAGAGGTGCAACGAGGGCAACTCTTTAGATACGATCATCAGGTTTCCACCAGAGGCTGCACTGGTCTGAGCACATTTCCCAGTATGGGCACGCTCAGCACCTCCTCACCCGGAGCCATGCACGCAGGAGGAATTTGCTACAAGAGCAAGAACACGACTCTAATAAAGCAACCTCCCTCAAAAATTAGCAGTGATGCCTGATACCTTAGTGTAATAAAAGCATCGCATCAACTATGCTTGCAAAATTTTACTGGTAGAAACCCATTAGGGTTTTTTGGTGTAGCAGCTCTGCTAACGATGGCTGCAGCTGTGCCCAGATAAGGGTCCCAATGAGGAGTGGTGCAGGGAAGGGGCTCTGCGCTTCTTTCAGAGCTTGGGGTCATGGGAGCAGGCATAGGTGACCTCTATCAAATAGCAGCACCCAAGTCCTTCAACACACAGTAAAAAGAGCAGTGGGAAGGATATGCTTGGACTTTGTAGCTCTCTACAAACAGCCACGTTTCTTCACACCAGTACAAAGATGGCTTTTAGGAATATAAAGGTGAAAGCTTTATGTTGAAGGATGTGCAAACAGTAAGTGTACTGCTGAGATCTATTTACTTACTGCCTCGGGTCATTTACTTGTAGGAGGTGCTCTCAGCTTTTATCCTTTTGGCTTTTTTGTTTTGCTTCTGTGGATGCTCATGTAAGGGGGTAGCTCTGATAGGTCTGTAATCCAACATGGCCTTGATGTGTGTGGCAAATCAGGTCTCTGTTCTTTGTAGCCTTTTGGGGTTTCATGCCTTGCAAAACACCCCAGGACCTGAGCCAACAAGGCCCTTCCTTTGTTGCAGGCTTGTGAGCAGGCGTGTTGGATTTAGCCCTTGGACTCCCACCTCTGCAGGTAGAGGTGTGTCAGAAGGATGTTAAGCATTTTGCCAGTTGGAGCAGATAGGAGCTGGCTGTGCTTCACTTCATCCCTGGAAATCCCTTATTGGAGCAGGAGAGCAACTGGCCACCCCAGCTGGTGTTTGGCAGAGCCAGTTCGTTTGAAAATGGGGTATTGGTGTGCCAGGCAGGAGGGGAGACCTCAGAGAAACAAGAGGAACGAGGTGCTGGGTTTTGCCCTTTGTGCTGTTACACGAGGGCGTTGGGGGCTCCTGCTGGCAAACAGCCCGAGCTGCGGGAGCTCCTGTCTGGGCCCCCGTTATCGATCCGATCCCTCTGCCCCCATCCTCCTCCTTAACCAAACTGGGAGGAGGACAAGCTCGCCAGTCGCTTGCTTGGCCATCTCTTTGCGGGGCCCCCCCGGAGCAGAGGAGGCTTTCGGCTGTCCCGGCGTAGGAGCGTGAAGGGGATGGGTACGAGGGTGCGGGCAGGGCTGAGGCCGAGCTCCCCCTCCCCAGACCACCGGGGCTGCGGGGCAGAGCAGCGCGGCCCCCCCCGGGGGTGGCGGGGGCTCGCCGAGAGCCGGCTTCATTACAGTTACTGCTAGGGGATTGACCGCAGTCCCGGTGCACCCCCCCCCCGCTCCGCCGCGGCCTCCAGTGGACTTTCGGGGTTCCCCGCGCGTCGGCGGGGCTGCGGGAGGCCGGCCCGGCGCCTCTCGGCCGCGCTCCCCCGGGGGAGGGCCGGGGGGGGGGTCCCGCCTCGCCGCCCGGCCCCTTTGCATTGCGCATGGGCCCTCCCCGCCGGGTGGCCATGTTGCAGTCCTAGCAGCCAGCGCGGAGGCGGCGGGCCGGGGAGAGCGCAGCGCCCTGCAACCGCGATGGCCGTGGCCGTGGGGAGACCGGCGGTGGGTGCGGGCAGGGCTGGGGAGCGGGGGGGGGGGTGGGTGGGAAAGGGGGGGCGCGGTGCCGGGGATGCCGCGGCGCGGAGTGTAGGGGGGCAGCGCCCCGGGTGTAACGGGGAGGGGGGGACGCTGCCGCTTGTGCCCGTTCGCGGGACCGCGCGAAACTTTTTTTTTCCTCCCCGGTTTGGGGCCGCGCGGCTCTTTGTTGTAGCGGGGCTGGGCAGCTCCTCCCGGAGCCCGTCGGTGCGGGGAGACAGCGGGGACCGGCTCCCGGCTGCTCCCGCCGGGGGCTGCGGCCGCCTTCGGTGGCTTGCCGCGGGTGGTTCTGCCCCGCCGGTTCCCGTGGGTGGGAAAGCTTGGGAGTGGGGAGTGCTGTGCTTCGCGCTGGGTGGGCAGCCGGGTGGGCGGGAAGAGCCCGCGGGCCCCGGGGAGAGGCTTTGGGCGCTGCTCGGAGGCGAGCAGCAGGCGTGGAAATCCCGGGCTGCAAGCCTTCCGAGGGGCACGCGTGTTTTGCGTCTTCCAGCGTGACCGTTTTTCTGGGGGTGTGGTGGCCAGGAGTTTTTTGTTTGTTTGTTTGTTTTGTCTTTTTTTTTTTTTTTTTTTTTTTTTTTTACATCCATGTTGAGAAAGACAAAAGCTTTCCCCTTTAGAGGGAGAAAGGGGAAAAACAAAACAAAAATCCTCAAACCCACAGAAACTAACAGATGCTGTTCCTGAGAGAAAAAAAAAAAAAAAAAAGTCTCACATCCAGCTTGCAGTAACATGAATGAAACTCCACCATGACCAGACTGAATGCGCTTTTATGCATCATTGGCCACGGGAGGGAGAGAGACTCAACTGACTTCCCGGCAACTTTTTCAGTGCTTGCGAGTAAAACAGATGTTGCCCATGAGCAGAGGACTTGAATGTGGCTCCTTCTCGTAATAAGAAAAGGGTCTGTGTTCAAGATGTGACCAGGATGCATTTACGATGCACTTAAAGATCTGCGGGGCTATACGGTTCTTCTGATGTGGCAAAGCAAATGTATGAAGATGGGGTTAGTGATGTTACAGGAGGTGGGGAAGTTATGCTACTAAGCAAAATAAGAGCTGTTGTTTGTCAACAGAATACCTATAAATTATACCAGCTGTTTGTAAAGCTGCTTCTGAAATGTATTCCTTGATCATTAAGGTCTAAAGCATGCTTGGAAATTGAAGTTTTTCTTTCAGTGTAAGAAGATGCATTGAAATCACTACTCCAGCTGGTGCTTAGGGCAGGCTGAAGGGTATTGCCCAGCAGAGCTGCTTTGCTTTGTGTAGAGTAGCAACCTTGCAGCATGAATAGGCTCAGAGATGTGACTTATTGCAGGACATGATTGCCATTTGTTCTTGTGTATGTGTTTTGCTTTATTTTTCTGTCATTATACAAAACTGACACCGCTACTCAACCTCTCCCGTTTTTGGTTAATTGAAGTGCACGAGCAAACCCAAAAGAGCATCCATGGAGGGCTTCACACCAGTTAAAATCATATGTGTGTCACTGAGTCCGGTCCAGTGGGACTGACTGGACTCAGAGCATCCTTCAGGGTGAGAAGCATGTGTGTAGGGGAGAGGGAAGAGTGAGGCCACTTAGCTTCCTCGTAAGCAGCTGGTGGGCAGAACCTTCATCCTCCAGAATTGGTGGTTTTTGGAGAGGAGAGTTGTTTTATCTTGGGGTGATAAGAGAAGAAAAGACAGCGGGCTCGTATTCAGTAGATGTTGGGGGCGTTTTGTCTGATGTACCTTCTTATCTAATCCTCTCTGCTGCCGCTTTGCATGCTGCTGTTGTGTTGCTGGGGGGATGGTAGGGAGTTTGAAGAAATAGTTAATTATATGGTAGAGCAAGGCAAGGCTGATGAACATTTGCCTATCAAGCTCTTAACATAATAATCATATTTTATAAGGGCCCTGAGTGGTATGCATCTTGTTGGAGGGAGCATGGGAATTAAAGGAAGGGGGAAAGAGAAGGAATGAAACGAAAAACTAGTCAGTTTGACTTAAAACTATGATAACGTTCCTGAGTCACAACCTTTTACGTCCTGGCAGGATATGACATTATGTTAATTGTAAAAGCATGCATAAAATATAACTGCAGCAAACTGCTCTGAAGTGTCTGTGTTTAATTGTAGCCAAGCAGGGCGTGTTTTGGTAGCATGGGCGGCTTTGGTTTTAAGGCCCTGATCCCACAGATGTGAAGGCACATGTGTAATGCGCTGCCTGTAATTTCATTTGACTTAATAGAGACTGATCTCGGTATGTAAATGTAAAGGCATGCATAAGCAAGGTTTTGGCAGGGTTGGTGCCAAGAAGCTGCCATGGGACCTCTCAGCTGCTGTGTGTTTAAGCATATGCATGGCTTTCATCAGGGTGGAAGGATGCATGTGGTCAGCTGGGCTCGGCGTGAGATAAGCCACTTACAGGCTGGAAACTGTTGAGATGTACTAGGTAGGGGACCCCCTTCCTCATCCTGGGTTAATTCCCAGCATCCTGACCAGACCTGGATGGTTTCTTGGTAGTTCAGAGCATGGAAGAGGGCTCTGGCCTCCTGACCCTTCTCATTATTTGTCAATCCTAAATGTTTACAGAATGGTAGCTTGGTCTAGTTAAAGGAGCAAAATTAATGTTTACTCATGTATATACTTGTCCACAAGTCAAACAAAAATTGATGGAAAGTGAAGCTGGAATACAAATTTTACATGGGGACCATGGAAAACATTATCTGAGAGATGAAAATGGCACGGTGTATTCTTCCATCTGTTTTAAAAATACTTGATAATGAGAGACTGCCAGTTTCCATGGAGGGGAGGGAGTGAAAGAGAAAGACAAGAAGGTAGATCAGGGCTGAGGAGCTGAAGACTCTGTGCTCTGTCTTTCTCGGAGCAGCAGATTTATCAACACCCGCTGGGGTTAGCGAGAGCTGTGGGGCAGCGCTGTTGGAAAGCCCCATCCCTGTGTGTTGCTGGGTGGAGCAGGGCCACAGTGACCTCTGGTTTTAGACGGCGAGAGGAGCACCAGGAAAGGGGATACACCCTTGTCCCTGTGAGCATTTCTGTGCTCTTGCTAGCCGAGTGTCTGGCCGTCTTCACTGGCGATGGCGCAACCGGGCGGGAGAAGAGCCATTGCAGGCGGAGAGCTGAGACTGCGAGAGGTTATGGGGGGCAAGGCGGGTCGGGGATGGACCCCGGGGCAGCGAGTGGATCGCCACGCTCCTGGCACGTGCCCTGGGACTTTGCAGCCTGTCCCTTCCGAGTTTGCTGCAAGGCTGAGCTGTCCTTGCTGTCGGGTATTGTCCAGGGAGTGTTGCAGGGCTGCAGACTCTGGTCCCCGTGAGCGTGGCACTGCTGGGGTTGCTGAGATGGCCAGGGGCAGGGCTTTTGGCTTCCTTGCCTGCTTTCAGCTGCAAAGTGTGGCTTTTTGGGTCTGGCCAGGCTCAGCTGCCCATGCCAGGGAAGCAGACCTGGGTGGTGCACACAGGGGACTGTATTTTAGTTTGTGAACTCTTAATTTCCTTTATTCACCTCGGTGCCTTGTTTGCAGTAGGAAATTCTTTCAGACAATTCTTGTTGCTCCCGTTGATGTTAACAATGGTGGGAACCTGCCTCCTCCTTGCCTTGTTTTCAGCACAGCCTCAGTCATGGGCCAGGTTTTGTGTCCAGCCCACCACAAGCTCGGGGCCTCTCACTTTTCCAGCATGAAGTGAGCTGACTCGAGAGTCAGGATCTGATAGATATAATTGGAAAATCCTTATTTTGTGTAGATGAGATCACAGGGAATCAATTTTAGTGTCCCGTGTAGGGCCTCTGAAATGGCGATGGGGATTGATTAAGCAAGCAGCATGAATATGAAAGTAAAATATTTACTCAGAGCTGAGGCATGTCTCATATGTCCCCTTCCCACCCCTGCAGCCCCCAAGAGAGATGGCTTTGCTGTCTGGCTGCCTGCTCTGGAGCAATTTGAGGGTTGTCGCCACTTTAGTGCCTGCGGTATGCCTCTTCCTTGAGAAGTTATGCCGAGAGCGTGGGCATGAGGCTGCTTGGTAGCTTGTGGCTTGCTTTGCAGGAGAGGTGCCAAGGGGACAGAGTCTTCTCTTGGCTTGGCGAATGCTTCTGCCTTGTCCAGCCTATTTATTTGTTGGCTTGCTTTGGCTCTAGGCTTCAGTTCTATAAGGTACAGTGACTCGTGCAGAAAAAGAAGCAGTTTCAGCTTAGAAGAGTTGGGTGCAACCAGATGATTTAAAAAGGAACAACAAAAAAAAAAGCCCCACAATAGTACTTAAAGCTTTTTTTTTTTTAGGTACACTGTCTAGCTGCCTTCACTTCCAAATCTGTGAACAGCTCTCCATCCTACTGTAGTAAGTGATGTGTAACAACGGTTCAGACGAACGCCACTGTGCTGTTAGTGCTCAGCATTAATGCTGGTGGAGGCTGCTCCCGGTCAGAGACAGAAAACCAAATTCAGAGTCTTGCTGTCTTAGCTAGCAGCAGCAGTAACAAAAATTTACCCCAAATGTTGTTCTTTCTCCCTGTAAGTGCAAGTTTGCCTGCTGCTACGTGATGTAGTCAGTGAGATGGGAATAGGAGATGCTCTTTCTTGGCTGCTTTGTTACATGTGGATGCCTTTCCCCCTCCTCTATGCTGTGGTGCCTGGTTTAGATGTATGTGGGCCAGGACTTGCAGGAGTCACCAGAGTTGTTTTCATCCACAGTTTGGCCAGGTGTGATTAATGTGGGTGTAGGCAAGGCCCACTTGGACTTGCATGAGGTGGTGGAGAAAGAGTTGGGAGAAGGAGGAAAAGCTCCCTGTGGTTTTCCATTAGCAATACCCAGCCCTTCTGCAAGCTTTCCCCCCTGTGGCTGCACTCTTTGCTCATCCAATAGAAGTGACACCCACTGTTGGCATGAAATGTAGTCCCAAGGCTATTATCACCATTTCACTAGTAATACAATTCTTTTGCTGAGCTCTGCAATTTATAAGTCTTGAGCTATCT